GGAAGACAGCTTCACGTGCCACATGATGAACTGTAATAGTTTTTTTTATATATATAAATAGTTCTTATGGTGCCATGAAGAAGGATTACTTTTAGTGATTATTTTATTTAGTGATTTTTTTTTTTGATTATTAAGTGTTTTGTTTTTTTTGTTAAGAAAACTGGGCCTTTAGTAAAGCGCAAAATGCTAATAAAAGTTGCCGTTAATTTAGACCATGTTAAAGTTGTAATTGTCATTGTTTTGAAAAGGCCCAATTTTTAGTACCAAAAAAGTTTTCGTTGGCGTTTGTGTTTATGCAAGTAGGACAAGTGTGGTGCTAATCTTCATGGGTGGGAACCTTTAAAGACAGACACTAACTATCATGAGCAGTGGTCTATAATTCTCCCATTGTAAATGAGTTAATTTATATGCTAAAGTTTCAATAGTCAAACATGGATTGGAATGCCCTGTTCCTGTAATTGGACTTAACCAACCACCATTTACAGTAAATGCATGATCCAATAAGATCCTTCATTTATGATAGGTAATACATGATAAAAAGCATAGTGTTGCAACTCTAGTTACATTGGATTGTTCCTACTTCCCAGAACACACAGTATCATTGCAAATAGTACTGTGGGCACTTTACTTAAGCCAATATAAAACATGAAATTTACATAGTGTAACAGCTCTGGTTACGTTGTATTGTTCCCATTTCTTATCACACACAGTATTGATACAAACAATCTAGAATTTTTTCATTAACTCGCTCCAAACATTGCAATTATTAGACATTGCTATTTTTTGTACAAAGTGAAGTTGCGTTTTAACAAACATTTTGCAACTGTTAAAATGACGTTCTGTCTAATTTATCCATTTTGACAAATTATACAAACATAAATCATTACATTATTTTCCCACAAAAGCAAAGCTGCAAAAGTAATTAGGATAATTTGAACTGTTGTAGACATGTACAGTGCATCCTTTTTCCACATTTTTTATGTTACAGTCTTATTCCAAAATTGATTCAATTAATTTATTTCCTTAAAACTCTACACACAGTATCCTGTAATGGCATTGTAAAAAAAAAAAAAAAAAAGATTTTTTTTTTTTAAATTGTTGCAAATTTATTAAAAATAAAAAACCTGAAAAATCACATGTACATAAGTATTCACTGCCTTTACTCTGAAGCTCTAAATTGAGCTCAGGCACATTCTGTGTTCACTGATCATTCTTGAGATTATTCAGCACCTTAATTTTAGTGCACCTATGGTAAATTCAGTTGATTGGACATGATTTTAAAAAGCATATACTTGTCTATATAGGGTCCCAGGGTTGACAGTGCATGTCATAGCACAAACCAAGCATGGAGACAAAGGAATTGTGTGTAGACCTACAAGACAGGATTGTCTCAAGGCACAAGGCTGGGGAAGGCTACAGAAAACTTTCTGCTGCGCTGAAAGTTCCAAAGTTCCTAAATACACACCTGCTTCAGAGTGCTTGTGACCTCAGACTGGGGCGATGGTTCATCTTCCAGCAGGACAATGGCCCAAAGCACACCGCAAAAAAATATCAATGGAGTGGCTTCACAACAACTCTGTGAATGTCCTTAAGTGGCACAGCTAGACCCCAGATTTAAATCCTATTGAACATCTCTGGAGAGATCTGAAAATAGCTGTACACTTTCGCTTCCAATCCAAAATGATAGAGATTGAGAGGAATGGGCAAAAAAAAAAAAATTCCCAAAGACGTGTGCTAAGCCTGTGGCATTATATTCAAAAAGACTTGAGGCTGTAATTGCTGCCAAGGGTGCATTGACAAATTACTGAGCGAAGGCTGTAAATACTTACGTACATGTCCCACCCCTCAGCATTTGTGGTATCTACAAACGCCTGTACTTCCTATACATCTAAGTCTTTTATTCTTTCAAGCATTAACATTGGCTACAAGCACGTGCACACATAGAGCTCAACCTGTGCAGTGCACATGAATTGCCCCCGCTCCACCCATCCCTACGCCCCCATTTCCCCCAACCAACACCCCCCACCACCACCACCACCCCGCTCTTCAGTTTGCGACAAGCCCCAACTACCACAGCAACCCATGAGACCTCCTCTGTCTCAAACCGAAATCACTTCAAATGTCTCACAAAATCCCTGCCAATTTTTTTTAGTTTTTAGTACACCAAATTTTGAGTATGTAAAATGTTTCAGCATACCAAAAAGGTTTTGTGCATTTGCAAGTGAGACAAGTGTGGTGCTAATCAACGAGAAGGCAAAAATAATGGACCATACACCAAACTAGTTAAGCAATGCAGCTGTTTATTGCTGGTACACACAGCTGATATCAATTATCACAGTAAAAGGTCGATAATCATGAATAATGGATGCTTTTCACATGTTTAAGGGTCATTAGCATCTTTAGTCTTTGAAAGTTTTTAATATTTAGTTTTTTTTTTTCAACGTATGAACATTTATATGTATTTACATATGCATTGTTTCATCTTTGCTGCAAATTACAAAACCAACACATGTGTCCAAGAATCCCAGATGATGCACACTTATCCCACCTCTGAACTTCCAATGGTTCAGCAAGAAACCCTTAACTTTGTTGTAAAAAAATTGGATGCTGACCAAAAGTCGACCAATTAGGTAAGAGAGAAGATCGATCAGATGCACTCTCTCTCTCCACTAAGTGCACATTATTTCAGATTGCAAAGCAAAATTTTGAAGTATGTAGTGTCAGCTTGATTATCTAAAAAAAGTGTGAAGTTGACCTTAAGGCAAAGGCGTAGATTTGCTATTGACATTGGTGTGGTCAAACATACCTAGAGCGCATTCATTGAACAGCATAAATTCAGTTTCACGGTTTTAAAAACAAGAATAAAAGGTAACACTTCATAATAACTACACACTATGAACCATTTATGAAGAATTAGCAAATATTGAATTAATTATTTGTTAAGCATTAATTCAACATTAATAAACACTAGTAAGCAGTTTAAAACTGCAGCTACAAATGCTGTATTCTTGACTTAAAACTGGGCCCACCTGGAATCTGCGCGCGCAGAATTCGGCAGATTTTTAGCCCATCATTAATTCTGTTTATTTACTTAAGTAAATATGTGTAAATCTATATTTATTCAGTTTTTTTTTTATTAATTTCAGTAATTTTATTGAATAATGTGAAAATGTTGATCTGATTTATGTACAATGCAGTGTGTACAGTATTATTTTCTGTGTTTTACTATATATTATATATATATTATATGACACACTTGCTTTATTTACCAAATAAAGTGAATCTAATTGGATTTGCATTTTAAACAATAAATAAAAGTTAAAAAGATATTATTTTTTTATTTTATATATTAAGGTTTTAGTTATGATACTCCCAAACTAATTCCGCAGAAATCCACAAATTTTTACCAAAATTCTCTGCAGAAATAGCAAAAAACGTCCTCAGATTCTGTCTGGCCCTTTTTATAACCACATTTAAAATGTACCTAATAATTGTACTTTCATAATTTGTTAATGATTTATTTTTCATTATTAAATTAAGTATTGCATTATTTACAAACCAGTTATTTAAGCATAGTTGGTTGTTTTTTAAAAATCATTCAGAATGAGTTAGTAAATGATTAATAAACTATTCAAATCAGCATTTATAATTCTTTTGATTCAGGCATATACTAATAGTTAATGTGTATGTTAATAAACGCTTTATTAACTCAGCTTTGTTCAGTTTTGTGACCTAATCTAAAGTGAGGACTATTTATGCTTTATAAATCCCTTATAAATGACAATAATAAAAATAACAATCCCTTATAAATTTGACAAACTGTGAATTTAGAGAGATGTGTGATGCAGTTTAACTGCTTTAACCCGATTATTGTTTTTCATTATCATGGAGGCCAAAATTAAAACAAAATTTTGATTAATTGCACAGCCTTGGTTAATAGTATTGCGGTGCACATGTAGATTAAGAATGGACAGAGCAGTACTGTATTTTGAAGTTGATTTAAATTATTGGTAGGGACATTGGTGGATATTGGTGGCCACACGTCCCCGTCTATGCCAATTCTTCGCCCTTGCCTTAAGGTCATGAGGCCCTTTTCATTTGTTTGTTGGTAACAGAGGAGAAACAATCTCTTACATGTTGAAATACTATTGCTATTAATAACTGGCCTAATAATTATAATATATTTCAAATAATTTTAATGATTTTATTTTTATCATTCACATTTTATAATTGGTAAAATATTTATATTAATCATGATGAGTGACACAAATAATTTGCTTAGTACTTGCATTTATTATATATATATATATATATATATATATATATATATATATATATATATATATATATATATATATTATATATATATATATATAAAGATAAATATATATATAATATATATATATATATTTTTTTTTAAATAGATAGCTAGTCACTATCCGCTAGCTGGTTTGGCAGATGTGGTACACTTATCACTGCAGTTATCTTTTTAAATAAAGTTTTAACCTGTATTATACTCTTAGATTTACACTAAGCTGTAATTTTTATCCTTTCATCATTTCATCCTGTGCTTCTGTTTGGAGTCAAAAGAAATTTAAACCTGCATGTCTTGCCATGTCTTCATGTAACTGCCACCAGCTTGCTATTTCATAAATGATGTTAAAAGCAATTGAACTCTGTTTAGAATTAGATGGCTTTGTTTCTCTGAGCCTTTTCGACACCTATAAACTGAATCATTACAGTTTCCACAATGCCTTTGTATCAGATGCGTCGCCCTGACTAATATTCAAATGAATGAATATCTGTCAGGCAGATTCTCTGTGGTCACTGAGAGGAGAAAGAGCTTCCTTATTTGAGTCAAACCTCAGCACCACGGGCTTGCTGCAAAACACTGGTTTCCTGAGTATTGTGTGTTCTTTCTTTCTTTCTTTTTCCCTCATTTCGATTTTTGTTTTCTTTTCACGTCCTTTTCATTCATTCTGCCGTGAACAGGCTTCAGAATGACAGCGTTGCAGTTCAAAGATTACTTTTGGGTGAGTGGAAAAGTTTGAGTTATTTTGACTGACTACACTGAACGTTGTTGTTCGCTAGGGCTGAGATGACTGATGCTAACATCAGTTGAAGAAGTTGATTGTAAATGTGTTTAACTTTATCTAATTCAGCAGCATCAACGTAAACATGCAGATATTATGTAACTTTTTTGTAAACTGGCAGTTTTATTTACTTTATATTAGGGATTGATTCAAGCTTTGTCTTAAAAATAATGGTGTTTCATTTCAATGCTGGTATCGGCTTTTTATTAGCAGCAAGGTAATAAAGGGATAGTGTTAAAATACACATTAACTCTCTATGTACTCACCCTCAAGTGGTTCCAGTTTCGTTGCTTTGTAAAACACAAAAGATATTTTGAAGAAAGCCAAAAACCCGTAAAGACTGACTTCCATAGTAGGAAAAGCAAACAATGTTGAAAGTCAGTGGTTATGGTTTTCAAGCTTTCTTTAAAATATCTCCTTTGGTGTTTAACTAAAAAGAAACAGTAAACCCGTTTGGAAACGCTTGTAAAAAGTTTATACCTTTTTATTTTTAGGTGAACTATCCCTTTAAGATGGAAGACATAATTGACTATAACCTTGAATTCTATTCATAATTAGTTGATATTTGATTTGTGAGATTAAAACACTCTTTGGTGGTTAAGTATGGTTTTTTAGAGATTCATATACTTTGTCACGGAGAAGATCTGTGGGCTTCCTGTTGAGCGGCTGTCTGTGTGTCCGCTGTGCCCTCTTTTTACTTTGATCTGTGTTGTCAGAGCATTTATCTACAAAGCAACTTCTGGGTTGATTTGCATGTCAGCATGCCCTGCTGGTGCAGTCCAGTGTTAGGTGTTAAACACTATGATGTAAATATAGCACTGTTGTTTTCTTCCTGTTGCAAATGTAACAATTGTGAGAGAAACCAAGAGTTCATTTTTAAGCATTATTCCTATTGTTTTGATATCAGCCCAGACAGTTTGGTACCACATATTCATTTTTGCATTCATTTTTCCTTGTTTTTAGGAGTTTTTGTCCTGTTCATCTGTGATGCACAAAATTTCAATTTTAGAAACCGTTTCTATTTCCACTCCCTTATTTTTATTCATGAGCAGAAATAGCTTAAATCTAATTTTTAATGTTTCTTGCTGAATTTGAATCTTGTTTTCAATCCTAGATTTACTAAAAACAAGAAAAGCGCTACATTTTTGGTACATCCCAAAAACCTTTTTAAGAACACACAAATCCTTTTCCATGTTTTCTTTTTCTTTGTTATATGTAGTAGCTTTAATCTCAAGTAAATGTAGCCTAAACCCAGCAAACCCTTATTGGGGTTTATTCTCTTGTTGTTGTTTCATTTCCCTCAGAATGTTATATTTACACTAAAGAGATAGTTGTCTCATTTTCCCATTATTGTAAGTTTTACAATTAAACAAAAACTGTAACATTGCGGCAAAACATGGCAATTATACCTTCAGGTGCAGGTTATGTGCTGTATTCAGTATTGAATGCTACCAATGTGAGTTTGAGTACAGTGTGTGGCATTTATGGCCATACTGGAGTAGCAGCAGCAGATAGTTTACCGCAGACCTTGAAAATAAAATAACAAGTAAACGGTTTGATAATGAAAGTCAGATCTGTGATAACCCAACATCAGTCAACCAACATCTGGCAGGTTGTTTGAAGCAGACAGCAAAATTGCTTGTCGCTGGAATCCTGTAGCATTGAATGCAGTTAGGACACTGAGGCCTTCTGCTGACTTCAAGTAACTTTGCAACATCCATTAGATAAGATTATATGTAAACTTTCTGTTTAAAATCTTCTAACAATTAATCTTGATTAGACATGGGACTATATCCATTTTCAAGGTATACCGCGGTTTGGAAAAGTCAAGGTTTTAAAAACGTCTAACTTTTCTGCAATACCATTTCTAAGGTATGTGTACGATTTTTTTACTTAATTTTTTTTTTTTTTTTTTTTAGGACAACAGTATCTCCAGCATAAAAGATATCCAAAGATGCTGTTTTAAATTGTTAAAAAATATATTTAAAAAAATCTGTTTTTGAAATAAATGAAGACAGCAGAAGTTAATAATTCATTTGAATTATTTAGCCTCACATGTTTAGGCTACTGTTCCAATATATTTTTAAATTTTTCTCAAAATAAAATATAATGTGTTTTAAAGGGAAAAACGTTTTTGTTTTTCACCCAGACATTTAAAAAGAATATATTTTAGAGAATTAATCACAATAATGCAAAACCATGGTATTTTTATCCTATCATACTGTCAGAATCTTATACCGGCCCATGCCTAATCTTGATTCTCCTCCAATAAACATTATATTGGTTATAGCATCTTTCAAGCGTTTAAACTTTTTTTCGGTAAATTACCATAAGTAGATCATCTGTGAACAGGAAAATATACATTAGAAAGTTCATTCCAAGTTTCTAGGACGAGAGGTTGTAAGATTGCTGGAATTCTGTGAATTCAGAAGGAAAAATTGCTAGTTTCGAAGTTTAGAATGCAAGTGATGTGAGATGACTGCTAATTTGCGAGTGCATGTTTACTTTCCCTGCTAACCCTAACCCTAGAGTGTACTAATAAGTGACATGTAGTTGCAAAATGGCTTGTCTACACTAAAAGTGAAGAGCATGATTTGACTCTTGACTAAAGCCAATCAAACGTATGTATAGCAATTATGTCTTCATTAATTCATAGACATATGTTCTTCGTCATTTACGTCTAATGTAGCCAATAGCTTATGTCAAGGGAGTTATAATATTGCATACAATAGTCAATATGAGAGTCAAACAGATACACAAACCTATATTCTAATAATCTCCACATGAAAAAGTATATATATATATATATATATATATATATATATATATATGCGACGCAGTGGCGCAGTAGGTAGTGCTGTCGCTGGAAGGGCATCCACTGCGTAAAAAGACATTCTGGATAAGTTGGCGATTCATTCCGTTGTGGCAACCCCGGATTAGTAAAGGGACAAAGCCGATAAGAAAATATATATATATATGATATATATATATATATATATATATATATATATATATATATATATCATATATATATATATATGAACTATACTATAAATTTGACAAACTGTGTTAAGTATGTTTAATGTAATTAAAGTTAAAATAACTCAAGGTTGTTTTGATTCAATTTAAATTACATTTAATCGAATATATTGATATATATTAAATATAATATAGCAATACATTACAGTATATAGTAGTTAAAAACTAAAATGTACCATAGTACAATCATACAGTTTATCATTTTACAGTTGTGGAATATGATACAGCCTAAATTAACAAACAACACATATGTATATGAAGAGTTCAGATGCAAAAACCTCTACAGGTACATGCCGTCAGAAATTCCCATCAAAAATGAATATTTTTCTCAGCCTCAGTTGTTTATGTTTAGTTATTTCACTTTAAAGACCACAAAAAGGGCTTATTCTATGCCATAAATTTGACATTACTAAACCTACACACAGGAGCCGGATAAAAATGCTAATTTTAGAAGAAAAATTCAGATGGCATTTAAAGGTTTTGCATCTGAACTCTTTATGTACACTTTAGTAAAGTTCCAAAACTCTTACTATCAAAAACAAATTACTAAAGCAATTTTTCATGCTACAGGGGAATAATTCTAAACATAATTAAATTGCAATTATTATTATTGATCAAGTTAAATTAACAATCATGTTAATTAAATCTAATCCTGTTGCTTCCAGGGCCCGAAGTTTACAAGTAACTCTGGATATGAGATTCTTATCCAGAGGCTGTGCGATGGACGGCGAGCATGCAAAGACATGGAAGAGCTTTTAAAGATGAGGTAATGAAAATTGGTTAAAAGTATCATTGTTAAGGTCTCATAAAGCCAAAAGATGATGCATTCCTCTACTCATAGGGCAATGGCAGAGGAAAGGTACGGCAAGGAATTGATTACTATTGCACGCAAGACAGGAGGACAAACTGAAATTGGGTATGCAAATATTATTTCATGTTTGTTTTTTTGTATAAATTAGCTTCTGGTTTTAATGTTTTGCATGATACACAGTGCTTATAAGCATCCATCTGTTAACTGCATGTTTATTATTTTCTTGCTTTGGTCTTGTAGCACTTTAAAGGCATCCTTTGACCAACTAAAAGCTCGTAAGTAACTTTGCAAATGATAATTGATAACTCTTTACTCTAACGTTTCATTAGGTGAAGTTTGTTCATGTATTTACTAACACTAGCATGCTAACATTTACATTATAGTATATATTCATGTTTGTTAACATCAGTTAATGAAAATAAAGGTGTTGATTTTTAGTCCATGGACTTGATGTGATTTAAGTCAAGAAGAATGAAAGCCTCGCACTGTATTGCATTAAAGGATTTTAAATGCAGGATTTGAAGGCAAAGAATCACCCAACTCTAAGTGCTTTTAAAATCTTTAGATACACAGGAAGCCATAGGTTATATAACTTATTTCATGGTCATTTGCCAAGTTATAGACAAGTTAAAACTGGTTTTGTTTTTTTGCAGTACAGTATTTGACCAAGTCATTAGTTGTGTCGTTAGATCTCCTATAGCCCCCATTTTAAATCAGTCAGCCATCATGTCATCATATGTGTACTGTAAATGACATAAGCACGTCTAATAGCTCATAGTAACCCGTGCTAGCTACCTCTTTACAAATAACTGACTAGAACAACCTGTGCTTTTAACAATTTTAGCTTTTCAGCCAATCAGAATCAAGAATTTCAACAGTCCATGGTATAACTAATGTTATTACACTGCTCTCTGGAATTATTGATTCTTATTAGTAAATCAAGACATGCCAAGGGATGTTGTTCCAACACAATCTTACGCCAATTACTCACTTTTTGATTTATTTGCTAATTCATATGAATTTGAATATGAATCTCTTATTCATAGATTTCAGTAACGTTGAAGTTGATTTATTTTTTACAACAAGGCAGTGTACTTTAATCAATGTTCATTAAGAACCTAAATGAAAGATTTGTTCATCCCCCAATGACGGATGGGTTTAAATGTTTAAAGGTTTGGGGGCATGCCTCCTTTTAAAAATAGAATGAATATGAATGAAATTAAATACATATGTACGAATTGGCCAAATAAAATAGTCTACAAGAACAAAACAACCAGTAATATGTAGGCTCACCCGGGTACTTAATCATCTTGACTGTATATATTCATGTATGTTTATGCGTCACTCCCTTGTTGGTGGCTGCTTGAACCCATTTTGTGAGTAAATAATAAAAGTATTGGTATCTCTTTATTTTGATGATCCCTTTGAGGCATTATGTTGAATTTAAGTTACATTGCATCTACATGCCAACTAAGTAGACTGTTAGGTTGGGATTAGAGTTAGGGTTAGTGTAAGTTGACATGTACTTTCAAAGTTTCGTACAGTCAGTTAAATGTCTGTTGAAGCAGTATGAACAGAAATTAAGCAGATAGTCTACTAATACTCAAATTAGAAGTAGTTGGCATGTAGGTGCAATGCAACTTTTAGTCAACCAAATGTGCAATAGGGACCATCAAAAAAAGTCTTACCAAAGTATTTTAGTGTAAGGTGTGGCACGCCTAACAGCAAGAAGGTTGCCAGTCCCGGCTGGGTCAGTTGGCATTTCTGTGTGGAGTTTGTATGTTCTTCCTGTGTTGGTGTGGGTTTCTGTTGGGTGCTCTGGTTTCCCCCACAAGTCCAAAGACATGCGCTATAGGTGAATTGAATGTATAAAATTGGCTGTAGCGTATGAGATTGTGTCTGAATATGAGAGTGCATGGGTGTTTCCCAGTACTGGGTTGCAGCTGGAAGACTCTCCGCTGCTTAAAACATATGCTGGAATAGTTAACCGTTCATTTCGCACATAGACTACATTCACACACACAGACTACGGATCATTTAGCTAACCCAATTCACCTATAACACGTCTCTTGACTTGACTTGTGAGAAAAACCGGAGCACTCTGAGGAAACCTTGGCCAACATGGGGAGAACATGCAAAATCCACACAGCAGTGCCAACTGAGCCAGCCGGGGCTTGAACTAGCGACCTTCTCGCTGTGAGGCAATTGTGCTACACACTGCGCCACCGTGCTGACCCCAGATCAATGTTTTGTGTCTAATTGCTTAGCTAGTAGCCATGTAATATGTACATCTTGGTAATTGTTTTTGCAGAATAAATCTTTTCAGTCTTACTTATTCTTATGTTATTTACTTTCAGTTTAGGTTAGTAAATACATTAACTGACATTAACCAAAGGCAACAAAGTCTGACGTGCTAATTTACTCAAGAAATAATAAGCTCATAACTTCAAGACCACTAATGAATAAGTTGTGTTCTCAACTAGAAATGGAGAACATCGGAAATTTGCACATTCAGCTTTCTGGGATGTTACGAGAAGAGGCGAAACGAATGGAGCACTTCAGAGAGCGACAGAAGGAGCAGCGGAAAAAGGTGTGATGCTTGATTCAGCCAAACCACCAACCACATTGACAGTTCTATATGGGGGAAAAGAATGTGTGCTCAAACCAGACTGCTTCTTTAAACCTTTATGACCTGCGTATATAATTTATTTTCACAGTTTGAGGGCGTCATGGAAAAAGTTCAGAAGATTAAAGTGTCATTATATAAGAAAACCATGGAGGTGAGTCTTGCACTCATTGAAGTGACTTCATTTTTATTGGTTGCTCAGCGAATCCGGTATTTGCCTAATAGAGACTAAAAGCAGAATATCAGGAAGAGGAAAGGTGAAATGAGAGTGATTTAAATCATCAGCCTCGTGTGTTTGTGTGTGTGTGTGTGTGTGGTGGGGGATGGGCCTTCAAAATGTTGTAACTGTCACCTCAGGAAGTCTCACTTCTCTACTATAAGTGTATTTCTTTTTGGCCTGCACACTTCAGTTTGCCCTCAGCAAGGCAAACTCTGTTTTTTTTAGTGTTAGGCTTCCTCATATATTTGCAATTTCCTGAAAACAGACAAGTGCTATTGTCAAAGAAGATGTGTTTCCGTTTTTCTTGGTACTAAGAATGCAAAAGTGTATGTTTGGAGTCCTGAGAAGATAAGATGTTAAAGTTGCCTATTATCAGATACCTGTAGCATTTTCAATCTTGTTAATCTATGTTGATCTTGTAGAACGGAACTCTCAGTGTGGTTTTTGTTGTTTAGTGGTTACCGATTAGGGTTAAAAGGTAGTTTAGACATAGTGGTTCTTGAAGTGCTACCATTGTTCTTAAGCAGACTAACTGATGAGTGGGACTGTCCCTGTGGTAAAATATATATGTTTTGGATTAGCAGTAGTGCACTAAATAAGAACAAAGTGAAAGATGTCTGTGATTTAGTTTGTAAAACATCAGTTATTGGCTGATAAATTACTTCAATTGCATTTATTTAAGTTTATTTTTGTATGTTATAAAAATACTTTTTTTCAGAGTGGACTGAATATTTCATTTTCCAACAAATGCTTTCCAGAGTGTTTCCAACAAAACCATTTTTTTTTTAAAATTGTTGATTTTAATCAAATACCCAAAATACAGTTGAAGTCAGAATTATTAAACCCCCAAAATTATCTGCACCCCTTATTTTATCCCCCCAATTTCTGTTTAACAAAGAGAAGATTTTTTTTCTACACATTTCTAAACATAATAGTTTTAATAACTCATTTCTAATAACTGATTTATTTTATCTTTGTCATGATGACAGTAAATAATATTTGACTACCAGATATTTTTCAAGAGTCTTCTATACAGCTTCAATGAAGATGAATCTAAAGAATCTTGACAAAATCTGGGTGTCCTGTAAAAATGCTTTCTTTGCCATTCCACATGACTTTATTAATAAGTTATTTGAGTCATTGCAGAGATGTATGGATGCAGTCCTTCAAGCTCATGGGAGTCATACACAATATTTTTTTCTTTTTCCACTGCACCATGACTTTGTATTATGCACTGTACATTATTTCAATTAAGTGACAAGACTTTTGTCTAAGCAAAGTCATACCTTACTATCTTAATTAAATATTTAAAAATCAAGGCTAGTCATGTTTTATTTTGGTAAAATAAGCATAAACTAGATCAGGGGTTCCCAACCTTTTTTACTTTGGGGCCCATTTTTTTTCTCTGAACAATTTCTTGAAGGCCAAACTGACTGACATTTTCTTTAAAATATTTGTATGAAATGCTAATTTAAATCTTTATTTATTAACATTTATAACATTTAATAATGTTTATATATATATATAAAGAAACATACACAGATTCAAAAAGAACCACAGGTCAACAAGAAGATTTTAAAATACCAGCTTCTGCTTCAATCTGGACTGACTCGATATCTACTATGAAAAATATCTACTTTTCATAAATAAACAGACAAATGTAAAATACAGTCATTTAAAACACCCCTAAATCTGTTGAAACGTGTCGATCTGAAGGCGGTTGAGTTTGCAGCTGAATATTATTAGGAGATCACTGATGGGGACAGTGAACATCTCCGCCAGAGCGCATCTGAAGCTCATATGCAAGTTTGTTTTACATTCTTTGGGAGAAACACCATTGAGCCTAGCTAGATTCTCCTGTATGGGCGTGCATCCATTATAAAACAATCACAGGATATAATTTGGACAACTATGCGGATATATTCAGTAGTTCACACAAAAATACACAAAGAGAAACTTTCACTTCCAGCTCAGTTGAATGAACAGACTTGCGTGTAGTTGCAGACGCGATCATGAGGCTGTTTTTTCGCCGAGTTTGAGTCACCCAAAGAACAGGAGCAAGTGAATTACTTTGATAATTTTAATATAGCATATTAATAATGACATTCAAAAATTATAGTATAATATTAATTTAAAGAGTTCATTTAATTTTTGCGGCCCACCTGCAGAATTGCTCAGGCCCACTAGTGAAAACTTGGATAGGTGACAAGACTTTTGTCAGGTAGTGTATGTATATGTATATATTTATATGTATACAGTATATGTATATATGTATGTGTATATGTACAGTTGAAGTCAGAATTATAAGCCCCCCTAAATTTTTAGACCCCCTGATTATTTTCCCCCAATTTCTGTTTAAAACAGAGATTTTTTCAGCTAATTTCTAAACATAATAGTTTTAACTCATTTTTAATCGCTGATTTATTTTATCTTTGCCATGATGATAGTACATAATATTTGACTAGATATTTTTCAAGACACTTCTATACAGCTTAAAGTGACATTTAAAGGCTTAACTAGGTTAATAAGGTTAACTAGGCAGGTTAGGGTAATTAGACAAGTTATTATACAATGATAATTTGTTCTGTAGACTATTGAAATAAAATATAGCTTAAAGGGGCTAATAATTTTGACATTAAAATTGCTTTTTTTTTTACTTTAATTCTAGCCAAAGTATAACAAATAAGACTTTCCCCAGAAGAAAAAATATTATCAGACGTACTGTAAAAATGTCCTTGCTCTGTTAGACATCATTTGGGAACTATTTAAAAAAGAAAAAGAATTTCAACAAGGGACTAATAATTCTGACTTTAGCTATAGTTGACTATATATATTACAAGCTGACTATATATATAGTTTGTTATTCCTTGTAATATATATTGTTTGTTATTCCTAGTTATTTCCTCATATGCAAATGAATCAGAAGTTCTAAAACAACAGCAGAAAAGAGTTCACTTCTGCATTACAGAAAAAGGTCAATACATACATAAATATATTTATTGATATACATGTATCTATGTTCACTAAATGGAAAGCAGTACTTTTGTAAATTAAAATGTTTTTAGCAACAGCTTCTGTAGCATCTTTATATATTAAAGCTAAAAACTTTCATCTTGATATCACTACTATCTATCCATTGTTCATGCATGGTCATTTTCGGAAAAACATTGTGGTGACCTATAACCCTTGTCCCTGAAAGAAGTACGGTAAGTAAGTAGAAAGAAGTTTTTTTTTTTTTTTTTTTTTTTTCCACCAACAGATTGGGGATTTACTCAGAAACTAGTAATTCATTTATGGAGATGACACGTAACATCTCAGTTCCCTCCTGATCTTCTCAAATTGTTACTCTGTAAATCGTAGTTTAATGTTGCTGTGAGGGACTTGGTAATTCTCACCTATCGTTTTATATCAAATATAGGATATGTTTTTAGCTTTAACCTACTGTACATCCATTCACATTGATCGCCACAGTCTTGGAAGTAATTGTATGTGAGATCGGTTGTATGAATTGGATAAAGAATTGCATAATCTAACCTCGTTTCTGTGAGATTTGGTTAAGAATACAAGTTTAAAGCCTTAGATAAGTTTCCTTTATATTCATTCACATTTTGATAGTATCTATTAGCTTAAAAAGGTAATTTGTGGCTTATGTAAAATCACCATGTTCCTCTCTCCCTTTCACAGTCTAAAAGGACATATGAACAGAGGTGTAGAGAAGCTGATGAAGCTGAACTGACTGCTGAGAAGCTCAACAGTACATCCACTGTCACTCCTAAACAGTCTGAAAAGGTAAAATATGGGTTATGATGGGCAGAATCTGTGTGGCAAGTTTAAATATTAGAACATATAATACCATTCAGAAGTTTGGGGTCAGTAAGATTTCTTTTTCTCTGGTAACTTAACACTTCAGTTCAGCAAGGTTGCATTTAAACTGATCAGAAGTGACAGTGTAATTTAAAATTTATATTCAATGTATATGCTGTGTTCATCAAAGAATAACAGTTTTTTCTTTCCTGAGTGTCAAATGACCATATTAGAATGATTTATGAAGAATCATGTGACACTGAAGATGGGAGTTAGATGCTGGTTCAGGTTTGCCGTCATAGAAATATAAACATTTACATGTATTTACTTAGTAGTCACTTTTACTCAGAACGATTTACAAATGAGAAGAACAATAGAAGCAAACAATAAATCAATAAAAAAGCTAGAATTTTGTATGTGCTGTGACAATTGTTGCTCCAACATAGTTTGTACAACAAGGTCATTTAGATGAATTAAAATACAGAAAAACTGGCTGAGAATAGAAAAGATGGGTTCTAGCCAGTTATAAATTACCCAGTAGATTATTTTTTAAAATTAAACTTCACAGTTTTACTGTCTTTACTATGCTTTTGATCAAATAAATGGAGTCTTGGTGAGCATAAGTATTGAAGCCCATTTTTAGCATGGAACAATAGAAAGAAAATAGATCGTCTTTGGTTTTTTTTTTTTTTTAACTTTGGTTAGTTTTTATCTAACAGTTTTAAACTGTGAGATATGAACTTCTAGAATTGTGAAGTTCATGCAGTTGTGGCATTCTAGCATTTTTTCCCCTCTTTTGAAATTAATTCTGTTTAATTGTCAAAATACTTTTTTTATAAAAACTGTTAGTGAAAATCAGTTCAGGTTCACTGGAAATATCTGTGTTAGCCTTTTTTGCGGAATTAAAATTTGTGGCGGGGCAACACAGTGGAACGGTAGATAGTGCTGTCGCCTTACAGCAAGAAGGTCACTGATGCGAGCCTAGGCTGGGCCAGTTGGCGTTTCTGTGTGTAGTTTGCATGTTCTCCCTGCGTTCACGTGGGTTTCTTCCGAGTGCTCCGGTTTTCCCCACAGTCAAAAGACATGTGGTACAGGTGAATTGGGTAGGCTAAATTGTCCATAGTGTATGAGTGTGAATGAGTGTGTATGGATGTTTCCCAGAAATAGGTTGCAGCTGGAAGGGCATCCGCTGCATAAAAAACATATGCTGGATAAGTTGGCGGTTCATTCCGCTGTGGTGACCCCAAATTAATAAAGGGACTAAGCCGGGAAAAAAATGAATGAATGAATAAAATGCATTGCTCCAGGCATGCGTCTTCAACATTTCTGATGACAAATCCACTAGAGGGCACATTTTTGCAAATCTAAAATAAATTCAAACCAGGCTCATTCAGAAAACATAGTCCAGCGCACGTTTCTGGAGGCCGCGAAATACGTCCCGGGAGGTACGTATTTGTGCAGTTTTTGTTTTCGCGAATCCGCGAGAGGCCGCTGTGTGCGCTTTTTCGTATCTCTAAGGTCTCTCGAGAGTGCGGTTCGCGCCCACGCTCGTGCTGTTCTCGCGTCAACCCACCAGAGGCCGCTATCTGACTGACCGAATGATTGACTGCATGACCGGCCAATCGGCTGACCCACCCTCCTCTTTCCCTGAACCCAACCAGTTTTACCGATTGACTCGCCCGCCCGCTCACTTCCCTAAACCCGAGCAACAATTTAGAAAAGCCCTCTAGAAAAAGAAAAGCCCTCATCTGTTTTTTTTTTTTTACCACTTTTTCGGATTTCACCACGTTCTCACCCTGTTATGAACTCGTTCGCTTTATTTTTTGGATTCTGTTTTTGTCTTACCTGATTTCTGGAACCGCTCTTTCCCGAACTCGAACCCGGACGCCTTTGTCAACTCCTCCTCTCTGCATCTGAAGTGTGCCGACGCACACGATGAGCTGACCGAACAAGCTGATTGCGGCGGGAAAGCCCTCCACTCGGAGGTAAGCGGTCAGCCGGCAAGCGCGAAAGGGAACGGTGTCACACCGCACTGTGATGCGACAGTAAATAAATTTAAAAAAATATATATTTTATTTGCTAATAAAAATCACCTCATGTGGATTTTTTAAATTCTGAATCTTTGTCTTTTTTCGGAGGCTGCTGCTGTGTTTAGATGTTGCAATTTTCACCTGTAGCCACATATATTGAGGTAGCCTTCTTGACTGAAATGAAATGCACTCTATTTTCCATCAAGGCAAGTCGGTGTGCTGAAATAGTAAGCAGTGGGCGGAGCTATTCAGACCAAAACAAAGACAGACACTCTGACATGAAAACGCACGTTTTCAAAGGAAAATATCTAACGATAGCACTGATTTTCAGATGAACAAGCATGCTTTCTTAGCATGTTTCTTAAATATTTACAAAAATATTATGCTATTTATGCTTTAGAGTAGTCAAACATTTACATACAGCACCTTTAAACTCACAATTGCAAGATACAAACAATTCCATCATTTTAAACATATCAATCATATAAAATATCCATCATTCCATTATATTTTTACACGGGGTAAGCCTAAAAATATATCTTGCAAAAAAATATCTTCTGAAAAATAGCTTCTTTCATTCTTAGAAAGAAGCATCATAACTGTGACCTACTTCTTTAAATGGTTATTTGTGTGCTTTATTTATCATAATTGTGCGTGGTAAATATGGTAAATATTTTTCTTGCATGACATTATTGAGATCTTTCAGATTTTGAGTGCATTTTTTCATAAATGTTAGTAATGTTTTCTATAAGATTTTCTAATTACATTGGATACCGTTTGAATTTGTAGACCTATTTCAGAAAATGTTGTGTTCTATGCCATAACAGACACAAAACAAAGCAAAACAGTGCAGGGACGCAGCAACAGATGCAGGTGAGAAAAAAAAAATGCACTTTTTGTTTTCACAAATTTCACATCTCTGCTTGCAATGCAACATAATCGAACCAAGAGATCAATTAACACTAAATAATAAAATAACAACAAAGATTCTAAACAAGATCTCAAATGCTGCAGTGCTGATCTTTTTTTTATATATTATCATTAACAGAAAAACAGTACATATCTAACATAGAGCAGCTGGATAAGATTCGTCAGGAATGGGAAACCACACACGAGTTGACATGTGAGGTAAAACAGAAAAGCATACATTCACTCCTCCATTTGCTGTCCTTTAAAAAAGAGTCTTTTGCTCTGCCGAAGCTGAGAACCTCTCTGAGAACACTAAAAATGAACTTCCCGTTTTTTCTGTGTTTTGCTCACCACGTACCACAAACCACAAATACTGAAGTAAACTCTAAAATAGACTTTGTTTTAGCTTCATTAAACAAGTATCCATAACAGCTTTATAGTCTCAGCTAAACTAACTCATCATTATTTAAAGTCTGTGTCAACTTTCTATTTTATTTCGGATTGGTTCAAATACACAGGAGTTTATGAACTACATTAAGAACATGTAGATGTATTTAAAAGCATGATATTATACTGAATTCTGTGAATTTCTCCAGGTTTTCCAGCAGCAGGAAGATGATCGCATTAACATTTTGAGAAATGCCATTTGGGTGCACTGTAACCATTTTTCCATGCAGTGCGTCAAAGAGGATGAGGTCAGTATTACTTCATGCTGCTTTTGAAAAGGATGGCTCACCTCACTCGTCCTAAAAATATAATTGCTGTTAATTTAATCACCCTCATGCCATTTCAGTATAAATGTAAAGGTTTTTTAGCTGAAACCTGAAACTGTGGTCCTTGGTGTTCATAAAATGCAAGTCAATGGCTACTGGCACTTTTAGAGTAAAAAAACTTTTAGAGTGAACTCTTGAAGAGATCATGTGATGATAAAAATGTGTGCGAATAGACTAAAAGGCAGGCTGAGCACACTGTAAAACATCTCACATGTTGTTTTGGTCATTCTAAAACGCTTTAACTGTTTCAGTATTAGTTTTACTATAATATTAATCACCTACAGAATTGTCAAGAGCATCTGTGCAATGCATGTCGGCTTTTGTCTTCTGAGGCGCGAGTCATTTATTAAATATGAAAAGATTCACATAGCTCCCCCTACCGCAGTAAATTCTGTTTTTACTGTTGATATTTGTATATATATTTATGTTGATATATACTGTTGGCAGCAGTTAATCAGGAGGTGATTATTTTGTTCTCTTAGACTAGATGTAAACGCTGCTTTATTCACTTATTTTATGCGATATTTTTGGATGGAAACATAGCTATTGTTATTCTTAAGGTGAATAATTAGTCCATGAAAGTTAATCCTCTGAAAAAATGTTGTGTTGGTAACACAAGACTTTTCACTTGTATGGTTTTAAATAGGGAAAAGTGTAACGTCAATATAACAAATGAAGCCCTGACTACTAGTACAGGAGCCAATCATCGATTGCTATAGACTGACGTTTTTTTCGGGGAAAAGCTTAAACCAGACATGTGCATTTACGACAGTTTGGTGGTCTTGCTTCACAGACATAAGAAATATGTCCAAATTAATCCTTTTTTTTACATAATATTTTTTTCGAGGTTTTCACCTTTAATGGATAGGACAGTAGAGAGTATTGACTGGAAAGTATAAGTTCGGCATAGGACAGCGAGGTGGGAATCAAACTCGGGTTGCTGTGAGCACTGGAATGCATGTGTCGATGCACTAACCACTACATCCCTACACCAATCTCTACTTTTAAATGAACTACACTTGAAATCAAAAGATTTTTGGTTTTGTAATCTGTGTGAAACAAGCGTGAGGTACAGACCCTCCTGTCAAATACACGCCACATAACAGCAACTATTAAAACGCCCACAAACTTGAAAACAAAGAGTCGCTGTCATTTCTGGAGGAGATTCACCATCAAGACCAAGTTATGCTTAAAAATGAAACTTATGAAATGGTTGTTGTTTACTTTTACTGGTGACATAAAGCCCGAGCATACTGCCCGAGAGGCATTTCAAAGATGGCAGCACAGTGAAATTACTTGCCTTAAAGGGACTTTAAGGGTAAGGGTAATATTCAATGGAACTCTTACAAGTTGCTTCTGCTTTTGGAGTAACGGTCTTTCTGTTGATGTCAACCTGAGGGCTTCCATGGCAACTGCGTATTAATATCCTCTCTTACCGTTATGACGCACAACTGAAAGCCCCTTCCCCTACTCCATGTTCTGTGTCGGTCTGAAGTACATCAACATACTGAAATAAAAGTCTCAGAAACTTCCAGTTCATGCTGACTTTAATACTGATTGTTTCTTTTCACAAAACTTCAGTGTGTAATCAGGAGCATTTTCTTTGCCTGTTTGTTAGTTTTTGTTGTTGTTGTTTTGTGCTGGTGCTTTGACTTGTATCACCAGGACTACAGTTTCAGCTGAAAACCATTTCTCACTGTTATGTTAAATTGCTTAGGACATTATTTTTGTTTTATAGAGTGTGGAGATACAACGATGAACCGATTTAACTATTAACCAAGCTTTAATTCATCAGGGTTAATTAATTGTAAAGGCTTCTCAACACCGCATTTCTGCACAGAACAAACCTACTGCGATTAAAGAAAGTTATGCCAACTGTGTGCTAGTTTAAGATTCTGAGCCTGTACATCAAGGCTATTACCCACGCACACTGAATATAGTTGATATAATATGTACTGCAGTTGATCAGAAGTTCCTTTCTGACAGAGCTTCAGCAGCCTTTGACTACATTTATTCTCTTTTAAAGGGAAATACTTATCTAATGTGTAGCTTAGATTTACATTAGACAAATACTGTTTAATTTATTCTTATTTTTATTTTTTTATTTAATAATTGTTCTGTCATTTATTTTCAGTGTGAAATTATTACTTATTTATTTTTTTATATAATTATTATGCTAAAATCTTTTTTTTTTTTAAGTCCAGTGAGAAATGGACTATTGTTTGTTTTTTATTATTATTGTGTGCTGTATTATTTGTGTACTGATGAGCAATAAATAACACTTATCTTCAAAGGATCTTCAAGCATCAGACTAAATAAGAACTCATTATAAGATCACAATGAGTCACATTTGTCATATAAATATGTTGTTTCATTTTTACATAAATTTACTGTATCTTTAAATGAGGATAGAACATTATTTCACACATATTTTGGCATTTTCTGCTTTTTATTGGGCATCTGCTTTTAATTTAATTTGAAATATTAAAGTAGACACTTGTATTTATTTTTCAAAGTATTAAAAAATAAATAAATAAAGTACTTTTGTAAATTTGTCATGAACAACAACACTGATGGTTGTGGAACAACACTGACTGGTTTTTGACCCATAAGTTCAACCTAAATTATCTGATTTCAGTTCCTCAAATATTTGAATATTAGTGCACATTTGATCAGATGATATTTATTTGCTCATTTAAATGAGATGACACACAAAAATCCTGCAATGCAAAATAACTGTCTTGAAGTATTGTGATGAGTGAGTAAACTCAGAAAGTGTAGAGAAAACAATGTAAAAATCTTTAAATGTTTTCACAAAATGATGTTACAATGTAAAGTGTAACAATGGCAAACTTGTGTAACTGTTTCTGTGAACATGGTTTGAAACTTTGCTTTGTAGAAAATGACCAAATGATTGGATGACATAATCAGCTTTTACACAAATGCTACGTTAAAGCAAAAGGGATTTTTTTTTTTGTATTCAAATTCAGTATTAACTCTTTATTGGGCATGTAACCATATATAGCTTCAATGAAATTGATTGCAATAACATTTTTATTAAGTCTTGTAATAACTCGCAGTTACACTTTTGGGTTTTTCTTCTGAGTATAAGCATGAGTATATTAATTTAAGTAGAATATATTGTCAAATTGCTTATGATTTTTCTTTAGTGTTATGAGGAAGTGAGGACTACTTTAGAGATGTGTGACATCACGGAAGACATAAACAGCTTCATCAAGACCAAAAGCATTGGCAACACTCCTTCAGGTCTGTGCTTTTCTGTATTGTTTCCATTGGGTTCTTACGGTAAACTTTCCAAAAATCATAAATCGCCATTATGGTGTGGCCTACTGTAATATAACTGCATGATTTTATGATGATATAGCATGATGATGTACTGTGGAATTTTCAGTAAAGTTTTTGTTTAATGTTGATCAAATCTGTGTCTGCAGTGCCCATTGTGTTTGAGAACTATTATGAGAAAGAGCAACAGGCAGACAGCAATGGCATCATCCGCTTTGGAGGAGGTGTGATGAAGAGGTGTGTTTTACACATCATAATGCATTTCCTTTACTGACAAAACAATGGAATGTATAAGATGTATATGCTATATTTACATACATATGATTTTGTACCTGGGGGGTGTGACATTAACACAAAAATCAACATTTCCACAGACTGTTTGCTGATCATTTACAAAAGTACTAAAGTAGCTCCAAAATTGCAGATTTTATTATTTACATTTATTTAATTTTTTCCCTGAAAGTCTTTCACAAAGCATTTTAGGACTTTATCTTCTAAATCAGCAAAAACCTTAGAAGTAGAGAAGAGGATTCCTAAATCACTAAAACCATTACCAAGCTATCCTAAAATGGTTGTTGCTGGCAATCTGTCTCGAAAAAAAAAAAAAAAAAAAAACATTTTAAAAACATTTGACCACAGCTTTGGCACTTTTAAGGAGTTTCAAGAGTTCACACTTAGCTGATGATTGGTAATAAGCTAGTTTGGAAAGCTGTCCCGGGAGAAAGCCCCGAGCTCATGAGAGCCTCGAGCCCGGGGCTCCCTCCCATTGCAGAGCGAGAGGGGAGTTTGAGCTCGGGTAGATCTTTAGAAACTCCCCCCCTCTCCTGCTGCGTGAGGGTTGCTAAGGTGATGCGTTGCTGACAGAATTGAATCGAATTTGGTGCTAATTTGGTTTAGTCAATTTACTTAAGTGTCATGTTTTTGGGACTGTGGGAGGAAATCGGAGGATCCAGGGAAAACCTACGCAAGCACGGGGAGAACATGAACTTCACACAAAAATGCTGACCGTTTGGGTAGATGCTGCATTTTGCTGTGAGGCCGCAGTGCTAGCCACTGGGCCGCCGTGCTGCCCTGTAGACAAAAGAGGAGGAGAAGGGGTGGAAGGGGGGATTCTTCAAGACGAAGATGACTAAAGATAAGGTTTTTGGTTATTTATACTTGGTTAGGAATAGTCTGATTGGTGGTTCGTACATTAGCTTGACCAGCCGTGTCAATCATAAGCACGTGATCCTCTCGAAATTAGTTTATGAATAAACTTCACTTAATCACTTGAATGGTGAAACAATCAGAATTATATTTTCAGAATTTTTTTTAATATTTATTTTAAAAACACAATAAACAGCCAAAACAAAATATATTTTCTCAAATGCCACTGTTTTTGACTGTTTTGGTGCCATCTTGTGAATAAGTAATACATTCGTACAATACTACATGGAGATGTGAATGCTCCATTCAGCGCCATTCGGCGGTTTTAACTTCTTTTAGCTTTGTGTTTAAGTAAAGAATTATAAAAATATTATGACTCAGAACAATGTTTTGTGTCAAATTTATATGTATTTTCACAAGTAGCAATGTAATAAGCGAGCTAAAGTACATTCAGCATGGTTGTTTTCTCTGAATAAAGCCCTTTGGTCTTATACAGCAGTCCTCCGCCTTGCATCAGGAAACTGATATGCCTGTCAGGCTTAATTCTGCAAAAACAGCCTCCTGGATGTACTTTATGTCTAATACATCAACTGATTAAACTAAAAACACAGGCTCATCTTGGTACTACCTATCATCTTACTGGATATGTGGAGTTTATTTATAAACTAATTTCGAGAGGATCACATATGATTGTTTATGACACATCAGCTCATGATTGATTCTCCAATCAGATGATTCCTTACTTACTATAAGTAACCAGAGTTTTCTTATCTTAATATCTTCATCTTGAAGAATCCCCCCCACCCACCCCTACTCCCCCTCCTTTCAGGATGGGTGACACAGCGGCCCAATGATTTGCACTGTTGCTTCACAGCAAAAATGTCTCTGGATAAAGTCCAGACAAAAGTCCAGTTGACATTTCTGTGCAGAGTTTGCTTGTTCTCCCTGTGCTCACGTGGGTTTTCCCCAGGTTCTCTGGTTTCCTCACACAGTCCAAAAAACATTCAACCTAAGTAAATTGAACATACCAAATTGACACCATAGCCAAGCTCTTGGAAAGCACACCTGTCCTCAGCCATCCTATGTCTGTCATTAGCCAGAAATAAGCCCGGGAAAGTTCAGAGATCTACCTGAGCTCAAACTCCCCTCTCCCATTCCTACAAACGGGAGGGAGCCCAGAGCTCTAGGATCTCATAATATTAGGGCTCTCTCCTGAATAATAAGTAGGCAAATGTAGGCTACATCCAACTGTTAAAGCTTTAAACTTAAATAAAGAGCCAGTAAATGATTACAGCTCAAATCAATGTTTTATGTCTAATTGTTAAGTTTCTTGGGAGGTACAGTAGCTGTGTATTAATGGCTTTGCATCAGGCTGCTGATAAACCTGTCATGCTTTGATTTGTGAGAACAACCAGCTAGATGCACATTATGTGTTACTTATCCCAGTGCATTTAGTCCTTCTGTGTTTTCAGTTTTTGTCTCATTTTATCTTTTCTATGTGATGTTTATCTATTTTTATTTAAATATTCATCTTTCTGATGAGACGTTAAACTGAGGTCCTGACTTTCTGTGGTCATTAAAAATCCCTTGGCACTATTCATAAAGTGTAGGGGTGTAACTCCGGTGTCCTGGCCAAATTCCCTCCATTGGCCCTTAACCATCATGGCCTCCCAATTATCTCCATTCACAGAATTGGCTCTATTACTGTCTCTCCACTCCTCCAATAGCTAGTGTGTGGTGAGCGCACTGGTGCCGTTGTCCTGTGGCTGCCGTCGCATCATCCAAGTGGATGGTGCACACTAGTGGTGGTGTGGAGAGACCTCTGTTGTGATTGTGAAGCACTTTGGGTGTATACACAATACATGTGCTATATAAATACACATATTACATTATATTATTTAGTTTTTGTCTTCTCCCAAGCCATGACAGAGTGACACTCAATAATGTAAGCTCACACAGTGTCAATACAGCATGATATTATCTTTCATGATACATTTCACACACCCCAAACTTACACACATTTATATGTTTAACATGCTGTCTTGACTCATAAAGCTGCTGTTTTGAAGCAAACGTGTCACATTGAGAGAAACACAGGCTGGGCTGTGATATGAAGTGTATGTATGAAGTGCAATAAGATGAAGTACAAAAATAAACTGTTTAATGTGTCTGTGGTAATCAGTGATACACATACAGTAGACATCTTAAAGTATTCTTTATATAGAAAAGGCTTTCTACGTGTCTTTTTACTGTATGTTCTGTGTCATTTTCTTTTTGCAAGGTTTTCAAATCTCTTGCAAGGCAACTGTGCCATTGGCTCCAGGAATAATAATGAATGTATTGTGCCGTCAGCACCTCCATCGGGTAAATATTACAATAATATCTTGAAATTACAATCACAAAAATAAGCTGCACATTACACTGGTTTGAATTATAGCCATCTTCAGCTTGTAGTTGAAGGGTAGTTCACCCAAAAATGAAAAGTCTATCATCATTTACTCACCCTCATATCATTCCCAAAGTCTGGGACACAAAAGAAGATATTTTGAAGACATGTTGGTGACCACTTAGTTTTAGTTACCACTGATTTACTTTGTATTGTAAAAATATAGAAGTCAATGTACAGTCAGCATTCTTCATAATATTGTTATTCACAAAAAAGAGAATATCATAAAGAATTAAAATTATTTTTTAAATTTGTTTGGTGAACTTACCCTTGAACCCTGAAAGACCAAATATAGGCACATAAAGAACAGCCTTTCAGAAGTCATAAACAACGTTTACTTTTTTTCTTTTTTTTTTACATTATTGACATTTCAGAACGTTTTTAGGGAAGTTTATTGGTTTGCAACATTGGGTCTTTGAGGTAGCAAAAACTCTGGAATTTTACTCACTTTCTCAATAAAAGTAAATAACATTCAAGAGCTTTATTTACAGGATGTAAGGCAAGGCAAGGCAAGGCAAGTTTATTTATATAGCACATTTCATACACAGTGGCAATTCAAAGTGCTTTACATAAACAGGAATAAAAAAGACAAGTTTAGGAAAATAAAATGCAGACAATAAAAAATATTAAAAACAGATAAAAACAAATTAAAATGAGTTAAAATAGGTTATAAAAGAATGAAAAAGAAAACGAAAAACATAATAGTGCGATCTGTCGGACGCAGCACAGTGCTCATTCAGTAAAGGCACAGCTAAACAGATGTGTTTTCAGTCTTGATTTGAATGTGCCTAATGTTGGAGCACATCTGATCATTTCTGGAAGCTGATTCCAGCAGCAAGGGGCGTAGTGGCTGAAGGCAGATTCACCCTGCTTAGACTGAACTCTTGGAACTTCTAGTTTATATGATCCTAAAGATCTGAGTGATCTGTTAGGTTTGTATTCAGTGAGCATATATGTAATGTATTGAGGTCCTTGGCCATTTAGTGATTTATAGACCAGTAATAATACTTTAAAATCTATTCTGAATGTAACTGGCAGCCAGTGTAGAGACCTGAGGACAGGTGTGATGTGCTCTGATTTTCTGCTTCTGGTCAGAATTCTGGCTGCAGCATTCTGGATGAGCTGCAACTGTCTGACTGTCTTTTTGGGAAGACCAGTGAGGAGTCCATTACAGTAATCCACCCTGCTGCTGATAAAAGCATGAACAAGTTTCTCTAAGTCTTCACTAGAAACAAAGCATCTGATTCTTGCTATGTTTTTGAGATGATAGTATGCTGATTTACTGACTGCTTTGACATGACTGTTGAAACTCAGATCTGACTCCAGCGTCACACCAAGATTCTTGACCTTATTTTTTGTCGTTTGACCTTTAGAGCCAAGGTACGCATTCACCTTGAGAACCTCATCTCTGTTCCCAAACGCAATGACTTCAGTTTTCTCTTTGTTTAACTGAAGAAAGTTTTGGCACATCCAATTTTTAATTTCATCAATACATTGGCAGAGGGTGTCAATGGGGCTGTAGTCATTAGGCACTAAGGCTAGGTAGATCTGAGTGTCATCAGCATAGCTGTGGTAGGAGATTTGATTCTTTCTCATTATTTGGCTCAGAGGGAGCATGTAAAGGTTGAACAGGAGAGGTGCCAGAATCGAGCCTTGTGGGACTCCACATGTCATGGGTGTCCACCTCGACCTATGATCACCTATACTGACATAGTAACCTCTCCCTTCAAGGTAAGATCTGAACCATTTGAGGACTGTCCCAGACAGCCCAACCCAGTTTTCCAGCCTATCCAGAAGTATGCTGTGATCGACAGTGTCAAATGCAGCACTGAGATCCAACAATACCAGCACTGTTATTTTACCTGAATCTGTGTTTAGACGTATATCATTGATTATCTTTATAAGAGCGCTCTCTGTACTGTGATGTGCTCTGAAACCAGATTGAAAATTGTCTAAACACCCCCTGAAGTTTAAGAACTTGTTAACCTGGTTAAAAACAACTTTTTCAATGATTTTGCCAATGAAAGGGAGATTTGAGATTGGCCTGTAATTGTTCAATAGGGTGTTATCCAGATTGCTCTTCTTCAAGAGGGGTTTAACAACTGCAGTTTTAAGTGAGTTTGGAAAAATCCCTGATAGAAGTGAAGCATTTACCACTTTTAGGAGATCCATTTCTAAACAGGTAAACACCGTTTTGAAGAATGATGTGGGGAGCGTGTCAAGACTGCAGGTTGATGTTTTTATAATTTGCACCATCTCTTCTAAGATTTTACCGTTAATTGCCATGAAATCAGACATAATGTCTGACTTCTCAAGTTGTGGTTGAGTTTGTTTGATATCGACACAACTTGGCTGATTGGATGAGCTGATTGCCTTTCTGATATTATTGATTTTATCAGTAAAGAAATTAGCAAATTCATTACATTTGCTTACAGAGAGTAGCTCACTGGGAATCCGACTGGGGGGGTTTGTGAGCCTCTCTACTGTTGCAAAGAGTGTGCGAGCATTATTTACATTGTTGTTTATAAGGTTTGAAAAGAAAGTCTGTCTAGCAGTTTTTAGTTCCACATTAAAAGCCTGAAGACGGTCTTTATAGATATTATAATGGACTACTAGTTTCGTCTTTCTCCACATACGCTCAGCTTTCCTGCATTGTCTTTTCTTCATTTGGACTGCTCTTGAGTTTCTCCAAGGGACTCTCTCTTTGCCAGTTCTCTTCCTAACTTTAACAGGAGCGATGTCATTTATTACATTTTCAATTTTAGAATTAAACAAATCAAGGAGAGAATCAACAGAGTCTGCAGATATACTTGGTGCCAGCGATATGGCCTTCATAAACTGCTCACTAGTGTTCTCATTTATGCATCTCTTTCTGACAGAGACAGATCTGTCTTTAATAGCTGGAGTGATCAATATATCAAAGAAAATACAGAAATGATCAGATAGTGCCACATCCTTAACAACAGTCGATGAAATGTGTAAACCCTTAGTTATAAGTAGATCAAGAGTGTGTCCACGATTGTGTGTGGGTCCTTGAACATGCTGAGTCAGATCAAAAGTGTTAAAAACAGTCATCAGTTCTTTTACAGCATTGATTTCTGGATTATCAATGTGAATATTAAAATCCCCAGCAATACTAAAATAATCATATTCAGATGTTACTATTGATAACAGCTCTGTAAAATCCTCAATAAAAGCTGGAGAATATTTTGGAGGTCTGTAGATAATGATTAGTAAGATGCGTGGAGACCCTTTTAGTGCTATACTCAGATATTCAAAAGACAGATAGTCACCAAATGACACTTGTTTACATTCATACACATCTTTAAACAGGGCAGCGATGCCTCCACCTCTCCTATTAACTCTGCAAACACTCAAAAAGTCAAAGTTTAAAGGAGCTGCTTCATTCAGAACTGCTGCGCTACAACTGTCATCTAGCCAAGTTTCATTTAAAAGCATAAAATCAAGGCAATTTGTGTTGATAAAATCATTGACTAAAAGTGACTTATTGTTGAGTGATCTGATGTTTAGAAGTGCTAACTTAACAGTTTTAGTCGTTTTCACTACAGAAGTCTCAGATATACATTTAATAGACACCAGATTTGAATGATTTGCTATACGGTCTGAAAGAGTCTTTGGTTTTCTGTCACGTAATAAGACACATATCTGCGTAGAGAAAGCTACAGACACACTGGGTTCCTGCTTGTTCTGTAAACATCTGATAAAGACACTGTTACCTAAGCAGGCCCCCGAGACACATCAATGGCAGTTTTTAAGTTCACCAGCTAAAGATGAGGTGTTTTTTGGGACCTGGCGCTGTCGCAAAGACCTGAGGCCTTTCCTAGGTGTAGGGCGAGGTGGGCTTAGAGATGGGCGTGTGGCTTGCTGACTTTTGGTTGCTAACTGGGGGCTAGCAGCAATGGAGTGTGAGAGTTTAGTTCCAGCACACACCAGTTCCTCCATCTTTTTTGAAAAATCCAAGAGAGGCGAGCAAGATGACAATGAGAACGTGTCCGGTGACAGAGGCTGTGGGTCTGGGGTTTCTGGCTGCTGAGATATGTTTACCTGGCTGTTTTCCTGGGGATCATCAATGAGTGCTGAGACTTGATGCTGTTCTGATGCATCACAGTCTGCCTGTGTTGAGCTCAGTGTGCAGGGTGCAGACAGCAGTTTGTCCGTTATCGGCGGTTGTTGTGGCTGCGTGGTGTTATCTCTGTCCTTGTAGGATGCGTCAGCCACAAGTCCACTCAGGAGCTGATTTGAATTCCTGTGATCATCCGGACATTTGCTAGGTGTGTGTGTGTCATTCAGTTCAGTGGCATACACAGCTGATGGATGATGGAGGGAGAAGAGGATGTTGTCTTTCAGCACTTTTGCACCTAGCTTGTTTGGATGAAGGCCGTCTGATATAAACAGCTGTCTTTGGTTCCAGAAGAGATTGAAGTTGTCGATGAAATTCAGTCTTTTCATGTTACATGTTTTCTGCAGCCATGCATTTAGACCAAGGAGCCTTGAAAACATATTTGTCCCTCTTGCAGGGAGTGGTCCACTGATGAACGGCTGAATTTTCAATCTTTCAACTGTTTCCAAGAGCTCACAGAAATCTCTCTTGAGCAGTTCTGACTGCTCCTTCCGAATATCATTCTTCCCCACATGGATGATAATCCGTTTTGCAGTCTCATGTTTCCTTAATATGTTCTCAAGTTCTTTATTTATATCAGAAACTGTAGCATGAGGAAAGCAGTATGTCATGGTATCTCTGCTCTTAAAATTTTTGATTATTGAATCTCCAACAATCAATGTTCTTATCTCTGTTGCGATCGGAGCAGAATGCCGCTGTCTAGTCGGCCTTGAGCCTCTGTTCAGAGCAAAGTTAATTGCTGAGTCATGCGATCTCTGTCTGACTGCATTTGGGGAATCTTCACCCATATTACTCAAAACTTCATATCTGTTCTGAAGCTGTATTTGAGTCCGAGCTGTATTTGGGGTAGAGAACGCTAATGCAGCAGCGTTTGACCTTCGTGATCTGACCCCACGAGTACCCTTTGGTCTCGCACCTTGTTTATGCCATAGTTCACGCTGATTTTCAACAGTTTCAATCTGTTTTTCTGTTCTCAAAACAGTAGCTGGAGTAGATTTATAGGGCTTACCGGCTGAATGCTGTGAGGCTCCACGATGAACCGGTCCTGTGTAATTCGGCAGTTCTGGTTGGATCGCAAGTAACTTTGTTTCAAGAACTGCAATCTTTTGTAAAAGTTTGTGGCAGTTGGTGCAGCAGTGAGATTCCAAATCAATATGATCCAGAGCCATTTTCACAGCCGTGTTTTCCCGTCTCAGGAATGAAAGCAGCTGGTAGCGGGAGGATTGTTTAGACGATAATTCCTCTAAATAAAAGTAAAGTTGTACTCCAGAAAGTTTGTAGATTCGATGTTGATCTTCAAGCTGTTTCGTTTGAGCACTGTGCTGATAGGCTCAAGTTAAAAATAGATTATAAAATAAAAAAGCAGGAGTGCAAGGAGCGGAGCAGTAGGCAAAGACGTCCGAACAGTAGCAAAGCAGGAAGCAGTCATCAGCAAAGCAGGAAGCAGTCATGCAGTGTTTATGCAAGCATTTTACAACAAGCTATACACTGTATCATCCCAATAATGATAAATTATTTAAAAATTCTATATAATATTTGTTCACAAGAGGTGGTTCAGTCCGCTGTGGCGACCCCACATTAATAAAGGGACTAAACCAAAAAGAAAATGGATGAATGAATTTGTTTATACTAATATTTATAAAATCTGATTTAATAAATAAACTTTGATATTTAACCTGTTTATCTCTATAGCCATGTTCAGTTACAATAATAGTCTGCAGTGTGTATGACACCATATGGTCTTGGCTGGTAATTTACAAATCTGAAAACAAAAAACACAGATTATTTTTCAAGCTAAAATTCTTTTAAAAATCACAAACATATTAATAGGTTTTTAAAGGAACACTCCACTTTTTTTGCAAATAGGCTCATTTTCCAAATCTCCTAAAGATATACAGTTGAGTTTTACTATTTTTGAATTTATTCAGCCAATTTTTTAGCCAAAAGGCAAGAGTGCTTTTAACTTAGCTTAGCATAAATCATTGTATTGGATTAGACCATTAGTATTTAGTAAACATTTAAAAAAAAAAAGACTCTTCTTTAGTTACATTACAAAAAAACTGCATGTATGCATATTTTTCCACATGGATGAGATGAGAAGTTAAACTCCATGTAATGTTCAAGATGCACAAGATAATCTTTCTACCTCTTTGACCTGTAAGATTACAATTTTAGCATCTTTTTTATTGTGTAAACCACATCTGAGGTTTTTCTTTGAGAGAAAAACAATGTGAGCAGGTTTATTAGGGTACAGCTATAACTGATGTTGACTACGACTATAAGAACAGTGGCCCTGACTGGATTAAGTACTTTTTTAGAAGCATATAGTCGCTGCTAAGATGATATTCACCACAAGGGGGCACTTCAGCCCAATATATAATTTTATTATCCAGAATTAAAAGGATGCTTTCCATCTTCATCTTTATCTTCAAAACACGTTTGAGTTGTAGGGATATTTATATATTGTAGCTTTTGTTATTTATTTATGTACAGTATTTATTAATATTTGTTATTAAATTACCTTTTTTAATTTGGAAAATGTTGATAGATATAGTTTAAGTTTGACTAATTTTGTAATATTTTAAAAAATATGTCTGTATTCCTATTTAACTTTGTTTTTCGTTTCAGCAGTTTTAATATTTCAGTTTATAAAAGAATATTATTAAAAGTTATTGTAAGAAGACCTTGCTTACAGATAAGATAGACCCCTGTCTGCTAAAAAAATAAATAAATAAAAACTTTTTCGACTTTTCTCTTTTCAGCTGACAACTCAGATGGAGTTTATGCCTCAATTCCTGGATTTCCACAAGAAACCTCAAACATCACCGCTTCTGAGAGTGGCAAATACCAGGCCATATATGACTATGTGGCTCAGGTAAAACAACACAAGAGGGAGAAAACTAAACTTGCTTTAGGGGATAGTTCACACAATGACAATTCTGTCATTATTTACTCAATCTTGATTTGTTCAAAGTTTCTTTCTTCTGTTGAACACAAAAGATTGTGGCACCCATTGACTTCCATATTAATTTATTTCCTACTATGGAGGTCAATGAGTGCCAACAACCAGAATTTTTTTAATTTCTTCTTTTACGTTCAAAGAAAGAAAGAAACCCATAAAAACCACAAGAGGTATCATTTTTGAGTGAACTTGGCATTTTAAAAGACAATAGTATAAAATATACATTCATAATAATAAAAAGGTTGTATCACTTTATTTTGATGGTGCGTTTGTTGAATTTAAGTTACATTGCATCCACATGCCAACCAATTCTCAGAAGATTTTTAATAGACTGTTGGAGTTAGAGTTGCTGGGTTGGAGTTAGGTTTAGGTTTAGTGTAAGCTGACATGTACTTGCAAAGTTTCTTACAGTCAGTTAAATGTCTGTTGAAGGTGCAGTATCAGCAGATATTAAGCAGACAGTCTACTAATACTTAAATGAGAAGTAATTGGCATGTAGTTGCAATGCAACTTTTAGTCAACAAAATGTGTAATAGGGACCATCGAAATAAAGTCTTACCAAAATCTTAAATTGCACACAAAACTGTTCACAAATTTTCAAAACTGTTTTTTGTCAAGACATTTTGCCTGGATGGTTTGTCTGCATCAAAATGATAGTTTACCCAAAATTGGAAATTACCTATTCATTTTTGTTCTTACACAAAACCTCAGTGTGTCATGAGGAGCCATGTGTATTGATTTGGACTTGTCTCTATGTGTGTATAGAAAAAAACTGTCAGCATTCCTTGCCATTATATGAATCACCAAGAATCACAGATTCAGCTAAAAATCATCTTTAATTTTCTACTGAAGTAAAAAAAAAACTTAACCACATCTTGGATGATGTGGGTGAGTAAATGAACAGATTTTTTTTTTTTGGACGAATCATCTCTTTATACATCGGTCTATGTGCAAGCTTTCTGTGCATGACAAATTTTTTCAGATACAAATATGAAAAAATGCAGCATTTGATACTTCGGCATGCAAAGGCCTTTGAATGTTCAAATCAAAGTAAGACAACGATAGAAAAGAAGAGGTTACTAATTCTAGACTGCAGCAGGATGCTTGTAGTAGACACGCTTACTTTTTATGGAGAAAACTCTAAACAGGAAGCAGCTGGGTTTGTCATTTTTTAGGGGTCCCCAACATATACAGTATCTGTATTTTCATGTGTTTTGCGAATCTGCCATTTTCTATGAAGGGATATTTGGTGCAAAACTTTCTAAGCAGCTGTAAAAGTGTAACCTGTAGTTGTAAAGGGTCCGTGTACCATCCGTTCAGTTGATTATTCCTTTTATTCTGGAAAACGAAACACCAGAAAAACAGTCAATATTTCATTTGTCTGTTTATTCTGTAGGCACACAAAAAACAAAAGCACATCTTTTATCCTGTTTTAACTCAAAAGGCGGAATTTAGGCAAACAGAGAGCAAAAAAAATAATGAGGCATTTATTCATGTAATCGTTTGATCAAAATACGAACACCAAAAACAATGAGATTTCAACATGTGGGCATGCACGAGAAGGAGACGCCCTTTTGTTTGCCAATTGGTCAATAGCTATGAGGCTGTAGGATTTGACCTGTCCTGTTCTCCTGTTCAGAGGATATCATGGGCTTTCTAGTGATATGTCATTTGATTGTTTGGCATGGTAGGAACCACTTCTTACACTGCATCCAAAATGGCCGGCATACAAACAAGCTCAGTTTATGTGAAGGAGAGAGGTATGTAAAATTTAGCTTTTTAATAGTTTTTTTACTATTATTATTACATATATATATATATATATATATATATATATATATATATATATATATATATATATGTTTGCTAAAGTGTCATAAATGTTTGTTTCAAAATATCATCCTTTTTTAAATGTCCACTATAGTGGAAAGCAGGACCATCTTGATGTAATTAATGACTGCATTTTGTAAGAGGAAGAACTGAAGCAGAGAGAAGTCTTATAAGATAGTTGAGGGAGAATCTGATTTAGAGTCTGACAATCAGATATTTAGAAAATTAGAGACAATTAGAGAATGACAATTCTCAATTTTAAATCGCTTTTATGTTAAATTTGTTTTAGATTAACATCATTAACATTTTTTTTTTTTTGAGTTTGGCTCTCTTTCAGACTAAAATGTTTCAGGAATTTCAGTACAAAAGGTAAAAATGGCTTTTGTTTTGTTTTGTTAAATTAATAGGGATTACTATCCCTTTACAGCCATATTCTGTAGAGTTTTGTTGTCTGAGTTTGGCGGTCATTTCGAACTGAAATGGGTCTGTGGTCCACTACAGTGGACATGCTGTAAAATTAAAAATAAAAACAAAATGTAAAAGCTCTAAATTGTAGAATTTTTTTTTTACCAAACCCAAATAATGTTGGAAATCACAAAAAAAAAGAGATCAGGAGATTAAATCAAACTTCGCTTATCAACTCATACATAAAACAGGTACATATACTATAAATTCACAAACATATACAATTAGTTGTGAACATGCAAGTCATTTCCTATGTGTATGTGCATAGACTTCTCAAATGTCATTTGAGTTTAAATGGATGAGATCATTATTTATGATATAAATGATAATTAATAAGCTTATGAAATATATATAATCTGAATAATAAGGGAATTAGATCTGTTGAATAATGAAAATAGATTATGCTAATTATAACATATAAAAATATAATGCTAGGAATTCTCTAGCAAATTATTAAAGTTTAATATGCAATTAAATTATTAGAAAGCAGTAGGTTTGTTGAATGTATATATTTTTTGCACAAGCACAAATACAATTATGTCACAGCAATGGCTTAAATCTTCCGCTACAGGTCTGAGGCCAGGCACGTGTACACATAGGGCTCAACCTGTGTAGTGCATATGCCCTTTTTAGTCTTGGATATAAAGTGCCCATCCAAAATGAGCTGAAGTGCCCTAGCGACCCCCACAACCCCCCCACCCGGTCTTCAGTTTTTGCGCGACATATCAAAACACCCCCAACCAAAATTACAAATTTTTATCCTGCACATGCCCCTTTGAAGCACAGGCTGAAGCATCTCTGCACGGGCCTGTCTGAGGCCCTCCGCTCTGCGAGTACAAATTTACAGATACACATTTGTGGTTATTCGTTATAACTGCAAATGACAGCTGCTTGGGAGTTTTGCACTAAAAAAAACTTCATAATTTTCTCACTCAATTTTGTTTGTTCATGTTTGTTCATGTTCAAGTTTTCTTAACTTTTTTTTTGCATGTTTGAGCTTTCTCAGCTAGTGTAGATTGTCATGATACGTTACCTTTAATGTTTTACTGAAGTAAAAAAAAAAGATAGGCCAATAATAATAATAATAATAATAATAATAATAAAATACTTAAAACTAGGAAATTAACTGGAAATGTTCAACTTTGGGTGAACGATTCTTTAAAAGTTTGCCTGTTTATTTAAAAAATGTCTATTAGTAGTTACCTAAAAGCCAAAAATAACGTGTTTATAATGTTAGATCAGGGATTTGTAAATTCCCAAACAGTCTAAAAATCATATTATAATTTTTATTATTTTATCATTTATTCATTTAATTATTATTATTTATTTTATTTAATATTATCTTCATCTAATGAGACACAATCTTCAGTCGTGTATGATTCTATAATCTTAAAAAAAACAAAAGTTTGTTTTTAATGTACATGAGAGCTGTAAAGGTGTCAAAGTTTACCATGGTGCTGTAAAATGAATCTGCTGCAACTGATTAATATTATTAATATTAAATTTTACAATTAAAATTATTCATATAATGTAAACACACCAGGGGTCGCAATCCAAAGGAAAAAAAGTCAAAAGTATGTACCTAGTAAATACTGTTTTTATCTTCTGTAAGTTATGGATAAAACATGGTAATTCTAATAGTTTAATCAGGTTTATTTCATTTGTTTAAAACCACCTAGCGAGCCCACCCCCAACAATGTCCCCCACTATTAGAACCACTGTTGATGACGGTTTTGTTAATGTTTACACCATGTTTTGATGATTGTTTGCGTCGTGTTTGCAGGGCCCAGATGAGCTCTCCATCTCTGTGGGTGAAGTGCTGCTGGTGGTGGAGCAGGGTGGAGACGGATGGTGGACGGTGGAGAGAAATGGTCAGACTGGACTGGTGCCAGGTTCATACTTGGAAATAATATGAATCAACTCTCCATGTCCTTAAACGCCCCTCTAATAGCACAGCAATTAAACCCATTCCTATGACTCTTCATGTTTGCGTACATCCAAGCCATCAAAAAACTATCAATAGAGTGAAATGCTTTATTTTGTATAATAAGAATATCAATATTGATGAAATAGAGATTTATATTTATGATACAGATTATTTATTGTGAATAAAAAACATCAACAACAAAAGAATGTATAAAACTATAACTAGGCACTACGGAACTACCAGGATTACATTCATGTGAAAAGTCTAAACAGTGTACACTTCCTGAAAAAAAGTTTTGTCATCGATCCCAGTTGTAAGAGCAACAAATAATGACTTGACTTTTAGTTAATGATATGGAAAAGTAGCAGAAGGTAGATTTTTCAGATGAATCATCTGTTGAACTGCATCCTAATCATCACAAATACTGCAGAAGACCTATTAGAACCTGCATGGACCCAAGATTCTTACACAAATCAGTCAAGTTTGGTGAAGGAAAAATCTTGGTGTGGAGTTGCATGCAGTATGAGGGTGTGCAGGAGATCTGCAGAGTGGATGGCAACATCAACAGCCTGAGCTATCAAGACATTTGTGCTGCCCATTACTTTACAAACCACAGGACAGGGCAAATTCTTCAGCAGGATAGCGCTCCTTCTTATACTTCAGCCTTCACATCAAAGTTCCTGTATTCAAAGAAGTTCAGGGTGCTCTAGGATTGGCCAGCCCAGTCACCAGACTTGAACATTATTGAGCGTGTCTGAGGTAAGATGAAGGAGGCAATTAAGATGAATCCAAAGAATCTTGATGAACTCTGGGAGTCTTGCAGGAATGCTTTCTTTGCCATTCCAGATGACTTGTTTGAGTCATTACAGAGATGTGTAGATGCCGTCGTCCAAGCTCATGGGAGTCATACACAATATTCATTCTTTTTCCACTGCACCTTTGGGCTCTATAAAGGGCAAAGCGCAGGGCACAAAAGCAATTAGGGTGTGTTGGAATCCACTTTTGCTATTTTAAGGACGGAAAAATCCGCTTTGCGCCATGGCGCATGGTCTAAAAGGGTTGAGCTTATTTTCTTAATGACTTATGGGTGTGTTTTGAGAATAAACCAATCAGAGTCTCATCTCCGATTCCCTTTAAGAGTCAGTTGCGTCGTGCCATAGTGCACTTGCTATTGAAGTAGATAATGAGAAGGCCTTATCTCTCATTCTCGCGCAGTAGATGCACTGTTTAACTTGTTTTCTTTCTAGTGGAGCGCTAAGTGCGTCATGTAAATAGCAGACTGACTGTTAAAGAGAAGGGGAGATGAGACTCTGATTGATTTATTCTCAAAACACACCTATAACCCATTAAGAGAATAAGCTCAACCCTTTTAGACCATGCGCCACGACACATTTTTCCGTCCCTATATTCTATACTGTAAATTATTTCTGTTAAGTGACAAGACTTTTGTCTTAGCAAAGTCAGACCTTACTCTCCTTATTAATTCATTAAAAGGCATGATCATATTTTATTTTGGTAAAATGTGCGTAATGTAGAGGCCTTTTCTATTCATGTAAGCCACTTCTGATACCAAATGATCAACTAGAAGTCCAGTTTAATCATTTGTTGTTTCTAAAACTTGAATAGTTGACAAGACTTTTATCAGGTAGTGTAGTGTACATATCTTTACAGAATTCAAAATGTCATATGTAGTTAGTTTCTTAAAGGTAAACAATGGGATAAATATGAGGTCATATATACAGTTTTTAAACATCATCCATAATAGTTTATTTACTTAATGACACAATTTTATTTTTGTTGTCAAATTCAATCAATTTGGTTTTAAGTTTTAAAAATCCACAGTCAGACATTTCAGCCAGTCATATATTTCTAAATAACATCTGTGGCTAAATCAAACTATTGATTTTTTGCTTAAGTGAGTGTTGATCACTTGAACATTATTATTTTTTAACTTGTGAAATGTGATGAACAATAAAGCTGGATAAAAGTAAAGCACGTTGCCTTTGTCTGAATGTAACTAGGGTAGTGGTTTGTGCATTGTGGGTGTCAGAGTTGATCTTTCCAAGAGCACTGAAAGGAGAAACTATCCCACCGTAACCCTTTAAAACTTTTAACAGACTGACCTTCTTTGTGTCCCTAAGTTTCGAGTTTCCAAAAGGCCAAGGAATCAGTCCGCGGACATAATAAAGCATTTCTCAGTACCATATCATTTTTTTTTTTTAGAAATGTGAAGGATATTTTAGGCACATAATGTACATTTTTTATAATCTGTCAATATCTGCAAGATAGTAGGAATCCTAAAATACAAGATGTATAACAGTTTTTAGCATTAGTGAATTTATTATATAAACTTTTGAGTATATGCTATCTATAGATGCTGTGCTATTTGATTAAAACACAGTGAAAACAGTTATATTGTGCGCTTTATCAGCATTTATAATAAATTCATTTTTTAAAACATAATTTGTTCTTGTGATATGAAGCAAGATTTTCCTCATCATATGAGCTTCCAGAAATGTAAATGTTTTAAAAGTACACTGAAAAAATTGATTCAAAGATGATTCCTTGGATTTACTCAATTATTTTACTTAAGTGGTGGTAAATAATTTATTTGGGCTGAATTTAAACAAACAAATTAAGTTGAACGTTATCAAATTTAATTAGTTTGTTTAATTTCAACACAAATAAGTTGTTTGCAACAGTTCTGCATGCAACACTTTTTTCAGTGTATTTAAATGTTGAGAAAGATTTAAATGAGCTATCTGGAAGACCTCAAGTTTACAAAAGTGATCTAATGTGAAAATAAATGTATGCATGTAACATTATTGTTCAGTTTTTAAAATGTATAAAAGAATGAGTGAGGATATAAAATGCTCTTATAGTTTAAGGTAGTGCTGAACGGTTCTGGCTAAAATGAGAATCGTGATTTTTTTTCTTAAAATAAAGATCACGATTTTCTGCATCAGAACGGCAGAGTCACTTGCTGTTTTCAAAAAGCGATTTAAAACTCAACTATTTAGTCTCCACTTTCCTTACTAATATGCAACTACCTTTCTGACTCTTCAACTAACTACACAAACAAACAAAAAAAACAACGACAACAAAAAAAAAATTACTAATGCTTTCCTTCTTAGACTTTACAGACCTAAAACTTGCCTATAGCACTTATTCATTGTTGCTCTTATGGTTGTGTAAACTGCTTCCTTGTCCTCATTTGTAAGTCGCTTTGGATAAAAGCATCTGCTAATTGACTAAATGTAGGCTAGAGTAGTTATACTGACACTGTAAACATTTATTTTCATGCACAGCTGTGTGTTCGCTATGAAAGAAAAAAACACATCAAATGCTTTTCGCAATCATAACTCTAAAATATGATATGATATTTTAAATGATGTGCACGCTTTCGGTTTTATTTTCCCTGCAAACAATCACTCTGTGCCACAAACTGAATATTATTAACAACTTTACCTGTTATTCACAGCCTATGCAGGTTCTGTTCACTAAAGTAGACGCACGCGCATCTATCTGGTCACAGCTCAGTCAGCAGCTCACGTCACGTGTGATTTCCCGGCCGCAAATACAGCATTATATGAAGACAAAAATAACATTTTTATGTGAATTATACTTTATAAATACAGTATGTGACTCTTTTAACATCATTTGGAGGTGTCCATGTCGCTGGGCAATGTAAAACAATGAAAAGACTCGTGCAGCCTTTGCTTCTCCCCTGAACTTGAAAATATGATGGGCAGAATCGTAGAAATGCTGGATTAAGATCGTCTAGGGGGTCGAATCGAGATTGCAATCTTTTTCAATTAATTGTGCAGCTCTAGCTTAAAGTAATAAAAACCTCTTTATCTCTTTTAGTAAGGCCAGCAGGGGGCGCTCAACCTGTAATCTGTGTGAGTCTTAACGCCCCAGACTCTGTACTGCTTAGTGAGTGCTGCCTTTCAGATGTGATGTTAAACCGAGGTCCTGCCTCTCTGTTGTCTCTGTTGGTCCTCTCCACCAATCAGCTGGTGTGTGGTGTGCGGTCTGGAGCAATCCGCTTGTTAAGTGTGACGTCACGCGTAGCGGCTTTCGGGTCCAAGCACTCTATTCAACTGAATGGGGAGATTCATGAAATAATAATAATAAACGTTTACAAAGCGATTAAATACTTTCGAAAGTCACGATCGCAATATATATGTCCATGCCGAATATCCGATGGCCAGAAAGTGATTCATTGTTTTTTAAATTGTTATAAGTTTGGTATTTGTTACGCAGCAAGCCCAGAGATTGTTGTGTACACTATGACTTTATGTAAAATTAACTTTAATGTGTGATAGGAATAAAAAGTGATCATAAATGAATGATTTCTCCACTCAAGTGAATGGCGGCTTGGACCCGGAAACAGTATTACACACATCACAAACACGTCATCACTTAACAAGCGGATATGGTTGCCGTCACGTCATCCAGGTAGATGCTGCACACAGGTGGTAGATGAGATTCCCCCCTAAAATGTGTAAAGCGCTTTGTAAATGTAAGGAATTATTAATATTAATGACAAAAGGATGAAACCTACACTCTAAGAAAAAAGGTACACAGTGGTACAAATAATGTTCCTTGAGGAACAGTTTTGAACCTTTGTAAAAGTTGTACCCTATATGTGGTACAGACAAAACCTTATGATACTGTTCTGTACCTTTTATGGTACAACTAAAATGAAGGTTCACAATTAAAAAAGGTTCATGAGTGTTGAACAACTCCTTTATTATCTATGAAAATAAAAATGACTGGAAAGACAAAATGATTTCTAAATAATTTCCATATTAAAACATGAATCATGATTTAAAGATATGCTTAAAGAAGCTCCTAAACAAAATTATGAAGTTTTATCTTACAAAACAACTGGTAAAACAAAAATGTATTGTAAACTAAATATTTGAGGAATTTTAATAAATGTTTGGGAAGCATTTTTGACACTGTTAAGGTATTAAGTGTCTTGTCA